ACAACAAAAGGAACCTGAAAAAATGAATAAACTCCCTAAGAATTTTCAGAGAACAATTAATGGAATATTCAGGATCAAAGAAAACGCAAGGAATAAGAATATATTATATAATCCTTGCTCAACAAACACCTAGTACACTCGGTCGACGAAGTCTTACACTTGTTGGACTATTTTAGGAAAGTTCTCAACAACTTTGTTTGACCACTTCTGAAAAAGCATAAACAAATTTCCTATACCACTTCTAAAAAATCAGACACTTGTAAATGGACCTTTCATGCAGATTTCAGAAATGGAAAATATCAAAACAAGTAATAAAATCATGACACCTATACTAAGAGATCTGATTAGGAAAATGTGCACACATATTTGCAATAAGTTCAAACAAAGGAAATGTGCACATATTTATAAAATATGTTACTATATGTATAAACTACAGACATAATTGTGTTTTAAACAACTTAATGTGCAAAAATCATAAAATAATGCGCACACATAACTTTATAAGTTGACAAAAAACCTTATAATAGTAAAATCACCTAATTACCCATCAACAATTAAAGATTTTGGATGACTTTAGCACAAGGGTGCCTTGTCCTGAGTGATAAATATTTAATTATTTTTGTGATTAAGAGCATAAAAGTTTTCATGTGACTATAATTATTCAAAACCTTAACGGTAGATTGTGTAATTAACTATAATAGAGTATTTAATTAAAGAGTTCAATTTTGGGCTTTTGGTGGAATAGCCCAAAAATAATGGATTAAGAGATTTTATATTTAAGAGTTGAGCGGACCACATTGGTCCTTCGTGTAGCTCTGTATAATTTTCTAGCTAGTGGTTAAGGGTTTAAACCTTATAATTCTTGAATTTACCACCAAACTATGGGCTATCAACTTAAAGTTGAAATACTTAGGTTAATCATTAAAGGGTGTTGAGTTGAAGACATGAAATGGTGCAGTTTTGGCCATAAGTTGTGTGATGTCATTTTGGGAGCTGCTAAAGTGAATTCTGGTAATTGATTAACTTCAAATCCAATGGCTAAAAAACAACTCTTGGTCAATGGTATATAAAGGAGCAAATTGTGTAAAATATGTAGGTGTTCTTCGTGTTTGATAGAGCAAATCTGTTTGGGTTTTTCTTTTACAATCACTATGTGTAACCTGGTGTGAGTGAGTGATTAGAGAGTTAGTCATTTAAGTGAGAGGGGTTTTGCTCTCAAGATCTTAGAGATTCAAAGGAGAGTTCTTTAGGTTGGGTTACGAGAGAGATTTGATTGTTTGTGAGTGTAAGATCTTTGAATCTTTGTTGTAAACTCTTGATTCTAATTGATTAGTGCAGCGAGCTCCTTTGATTTCGGAGCTCAACATAGATGTAGCCTACCTAATCTTGGATAGGTGAACCACGGTAAATCTATGTGTATTGTTATGGTTTGTTATTGTGTGATTTTTGTCTTGATTGTGTGTTAAAGATTAGCAAGATTTCACGACAGTGGTATAAGAGCATTGGAGATAGGATCTTGTTTGATTTCTGAGTGACAAATTTGTTCAATTGAAAGTTTAGGGAAACCTAGGGTTTGTGAACAATTTAGGGCTTTTGTGTCTAGGCGTCTCCTTAGCACTCCAAGGTTCCCAAATCGTAAAATCAAAGGCAAAATTCGTTGATTTGATATGTTCTTGGAAGTCTAGGGTTTCATTGAGGATATTGAGTCAGACAGAATGAATCTTGAAGTTTCTTTAATACACACACAATGTCTACAACTACTAGAATGAAGATTACCCAATATGATGAGAAAATCGACTTCAGTAGTTAGAAGAAAAAGATGAAGGCACTGCTCTCACACAACAAGGTGGCTCTGGCTCTGGAGAAGAAAGTCAAGAAGTGGCCTGAGGATAAGCTAAAGAAAAAGGTAGAAATTGATGAAGAGGTGTACAACCTAATCATCATGAACTTGGTGGACAATGTCCTGCGGAAGGTAGATGGCCTTGAGACTCCCTTGGCCGTGTAAGGTAAACTTGAATCACTTTTCGCTTTACAATCTGCACCTAATCTTGCATTTTTAAAGGGTGTATTGTTTTCATATAAGATGGATAGTTCTAAGTCTATAGAAGACAACCTAGATGAGTTTCTAAAAATGACCTTAATAGTTAAGGAGAATGATTAGGAACTAGGAGATACCAGCCTTGCCATGATTTTACTAAATTCTTTAACTGATGATTATTTGGTTGTAAAGAATGCACTGCAATACTAAGGGACTGTACTGAGTCAAGATTTAATCATAGCAGGCTTAAAAGCTAGGGAACTTGAACTAAAAACCCAAAGAAGGAATGGAAGCAATCTGTTTGTAAAGAGTGAAGGTGAAACTAGTCAATCTAGCAAAGGAAACCAGTATAATAATGGTCCTAGGAACAAGAAAAAGGGAAAAGGAAACAATAGGCCTAAAGGAGAAAATTGAAAATGCTTTTACTACAATAAAACGAGTCACCTAAAGAAAAATTGCTTTGAGTGGATTAAAAAGCAGAAATAAGGAAATATTGAGAGTAATTTAGCTTCAACCAAGACCCATATAGAAGAGCCTGAAGTCCTTATTGTGTCAAAAACTGATTGTGTGCATGAATAGGTGCTAGACTCTGGTTGTTCCTTTCACATGAGCCCTAATAAAAATTGGTTCCAAGACTTTGAACCATATGAACATGAAACTGTTTTTATGGGTAATAATAATGCATGCGGCGTTAAGGGAATAAGGAGTATCACACTAAGGCTAACTGGTGGGAAATTGGTTAAATTGACTAAATTCATATTTATCCTTAAACTAAAAAGAAACTTAATATCTTTAGGGACTCTAGATGAATCTGTTTGCAGTTATAGAGCTGAAAATGGATGCTTATTTGTTTACAAAAATGGGAACCTTGTTCTTAAAAGAGAAAAGAAAAATGGCTTATACATTCTTTGTGGTAGTTATAAATTTGAACTGCATAATTCTGCTCTTGCATCTACTAATGTTTCTGTGACAGAAAAATGGCACCTAAGATTAGGCCATATGAGCCAAAAGGGGATGAACATCCTCAATAGCCAAGGGATGTTTGGTAAGGAAACTATTTCTACTTTAGAATTTTTTGAAAATTGTGTGTTGGGAAATCAACATAGGTTGAGTTTCAAAAGAGAAACTCATCTTGCTACTAAGTGTTTAGAGTACCTTCATTCAGACTTATGGGGACCTGAAAAAGTCAGGTCCCATGGAGGAAATAGTTATTTCCTCTCTATTGTTGATGACTATAGTAGAAAAGTTTGGGTCTTTCTCCTTAAGTCTAAAGACCAGGCCTTAGGTAAGTTCAAAGACTGGAAACTACTAGTAGAGAATCAAACTGACCATACGGTTAAAGCTTTAAGGACAGACAATGGTTTAGAATTCTGTAATACTGAATTTGATAATTTTTGTAGTGAAAATGGTATCCTAAGGCATAGGATAGTTAGGAAAACCCCTCAGTAAAATAGGGTTGCTGAGAGGATGAACATGACTTTATTGGAGAAGGTTAGGTGTCTCCTCTTTACCTCTGGTCTGCCTAATACTTTTTGGGGGGAAGCACTAACCACAGCAGCCTATTTAGTGAATATGAGCCCTTCCACAGCTATAGATCTGTATTGTCCAGAAGAAAAATGGTCGAGTAGAAGGCTTGATTTGAGTCATTTGAGGATTTTTAGGTGTGCAGCCTATGCACACACTGTAAGAGGAAAATTAGAACCTAGATCTACCAAGTGTGTCTTCCTAGGGTACCAAGAGGGAACAAAGGGCTATAGATTGTGGGATAGAGAATCTTCAGGGGTCAAAATCATAGTCAGTAGGGATATTATGTTCAATGAAGGTGTATTCCCATGTAAGAGCACCAATCATGGTGGAGTAGCCTCAAACATCTCTGATACTCCCACAACCTCAACTGAAATTACCCAAATTGAGGTGGAGCCTATTGTCCAAGCTCCAAACTCACCCCAACCAGAAACTACAGCTACAACTAAAGTTGAAATAGGAGAAAATGGTCCTGTTCAGGATGAAGAAGCTGAACCAGAAGAGACCTCAAAGCCACAATAAGACTTGCAACAGTATCAACTTGCAAGAGATAGAGTTAGGAGAGAGGTAAGACCCCTATCAAGGTATTCTTATGCTAATATAATATACATTGCCGTACTTGCAGGTACTAAAGTGCAAAGGACAGAGCCTTAACCTTTGAAGAAGCTATCAATTCAAAGGACAAAGGCAAATGATGGGTAGCAATGAAGGAGGAAATGAATTTATTGGAGGTAAATGGGACTTGGTCCCTTGTTCTCAAACCTAAAAATAAAAGGACAATTCAATGTAAATGGTTGTTTAAGTTAAAGGATGGCATCTCTTACAAGGACCCCCTAGGTATAAAGTTAGGTTAGTAGCCAAAGGTTACACCCAAAAGGAGGGTATAGACTTCAATGAAGTCTTTTCCCCGGTAGTAAAGTATAAGACCATTAGGATGATGCTCTCAGTAGTTGCTCACCACAACTTAGAATTAGAGCAACTAGATGTAACCACAACCTTCCTACATGGCAACTTAGAGGAAGAGATATTCATGAGTCAGCCCCTTGGTTTTCTGAATCCTAGAATTCCTAACCATGTATGCCTCTTACACAAGTCCTTGTATGGCCTCAAACAGTCCCCTAGGCAATGGTACAAGAGATTTGACTCATTTGTTGTAAGCATAGGGTTAACTAAAAGTAATTATGATACCTACTTTTATTTCTCTTTGAGTGATAACATGCCCATTTTCTTACTGCTGTATGTGGATTATATGCTATTAATAAGTAAGTCTAAGGATAAAATACTTGAACTAAAGGGCAAACTAAGTTCTAAATTTAGCATGAAAGACTTAGGAACTGCTAAGAAAATTTTGGGTATGGTTGTAAATAGAAATAGAAGGAACTTTGCATTGAAAATACATCAGCATTCATATTTGTAGAAATTGGTTGATAGATTTGGTATGTCTAGGTCAAAGCTGGTTTCTATGCCTTTAGCCAGCCACTTCATGTTGAATAAAGCCCAATGTCCAAAAACTGATGCTGAATTGATTAAAATGGAGTCTGTACCATATGCTAATGCTATAGGATCTGTTATGTATGCAATGATTAGTACTAGGCTTGATTTTTCATTTGCCATATCCATGTTAAGTAGATTTATGTCCAATCCTGGGGCTGAACATTGGACTACTTTAAAATGGGTGATTAAATACATTAACAATACACTATGGGTTGGATTAGAATATGGAAAAAAGGGTACTTCACTTGATTTGGTTGGTTTTGTAGATTCTGACTTTGCAGTTGATAAAAACACAAGGAAATCCACCACTTCTTACTACTTTACCCTTAGAGGAAACTACATAAGCTGGAAATCACAACTGCAACCCATTGTGGCTCTCTCATCGACAGAAGTCGAGTACATTGCAATTGCAAAATGCGAATGTGTTCAAGGAGGCAGTATGGTTAAAGGGAATCCTATCAGAGGCAACTTTGATAGATGGAAAGGTGACAATCTACTCAGATAGCCAGAGTGCGATCTACTTGAGTAAAAATCTTGTTTACCACGAAAGAACCAAGCATGTGGATGTACGCTACCATTTTGTGAGGGACTTGGCGGCTTCGAGTGAAATTGATTTGAAAAAGATGGTTATAGAAGACAATCCAGCCGATATGGGTACTAAGGTAGTTACAACAGCCAAATTCAAGCACTACTTGAATTTGTTGTTTATAACCTAGGCTAGAGCATTAGAGCAATGACGGACTTGGATTTGAGTGAGTTGCACTGATTAATGGTTGCTAGGATGACTGTTTCAAGTCTTCAAGGTGGAGATTGTTGAGTTGAAGATATTAAACAGTGTGGTTTTGGCCATACGTTGTGTGACGTCATTTTGGGAGCTACTAAAGTGAATCCTGCTCATTGATTAACTTCATATCCAACGGCTGAAAAAACTCTTGGTCAATGGTATATAAAGGAGCAAATAGTGTAAAACTGCAGCTATTCTTCATGTTTGATAGAGCAAATCTATTTGGGTTTTTCTTTTACAATCAATCTGTGTAACGTGGTGTGAGTGAGTGATTAGAGAGTTAGTCATTCAAGTGAGAGGGGTTTTTCTCTCAAGATCTTACAGATTCAAGGGAGAGTTCTCTAGGTTGGGTTACGGGAGAGATTTGATTGTTTGTGAGTGTGAGATCTTTGGATCTTTGTTGTAAACTCTTGATTCTAATTAATTAGTGCAATGAGCTCCTTCGATTTCGGAGCTCAGCGTGGACATAGCCTATCTAATTTGGATAGGTGAACCACGGTAAATCTGTGTGTATTGTTGTGGTTTGTTATTGTGTGATTTTTGTCTTGATTGTGTGTTAAAGATTAGGAAGATTTCATAACTAAGGGTTTGGTTCCTTCTTTAACAATTAAAAGTTATCCTACTAACTTAGGGTTTAGGTTTTCTATATAAGTGCACTTAAACTCGGAATTTCATATTAGTTAGTCTCCCCAAACCATTATACTATATTACAAGTTAGAGATATAAACATGTAACACCCACATTGAGGTAAGTTATTTATGCTTTTATGCCTTAAATTCCTTGAGTTTTGCTTGTGTTAAGGTGAAAGACTGAAAATTGGGAAACTGCGGACTTCGCCGCGGCAAAGGATATTTGTCGCCACAGCAATAAACTCTCTACCCAAATCGTGTTCTAGAATGTGCAGGTTTCGCCACGGCGAAGAATAAATTTCGCCGCGGCGACGTATGCTCTGGAATGCTTCGCCAAGGCGAAGAAGAATTTCGCCTGGGTAAAGAACTGTTGGAAATCTTGAGAAAATTTCCTTAAGGGAAAAATGACCATTCTACCCCTAATTAGTTGTAAATGTGGGGAGTGAAAAGTAAGGAAATTTCATGGAGAATGCAATGAAGGTGAAGGCATTCTTGTCATTGACTAAAGGACAAAGCTGGAATTTCTAAGAAAGTGGAAGGGCAAAATAGGAAAGTATGCATATTAATATGAGATATTAAGGATTCAAGCATACAAATCCTATCACTCTTTACACCTCACACACCACCTTCACTCTCAAATTCTCTCAATTTGCTTCACCAATTTTCAAGGTATTTTAGGGGACTTTTGGTTGGATTTTGAGTAGATATTCATTCCTAAGCATCCCAAGGTAAGAATTCTTGCAAATAGGTGTGAGATTAATTATTAAAGTGTTGAATTCTTATAGTTTATCTGCTTAAGGTTTTAGAAGAAGAGGAAGTCTACCAAAGAGAGAGATTCTAGTGTGGATCTACCCAAGTTCAAGTTAAGTAAATCCAACCCTAGCCCTTGATTTAAGCAATCCTTGAGTAGAGAATTTCCCTATATGTGTTTTTTATATTTGAGTGTTGAGTTTTGTGGATGGAATTGATGATGAAATTGATGTTGAGTGTGGTTTGAACCCCACCATGAGAAGTAGTGTTTAGTATGAGATGAATTGGTGGAAGTTTGAAGAAATTATGAAGAAGTTGAAATAGAATTTTGAAGTGTGAATTTCCTGGCCAGGTTTGAGGTTAGTTGTAGAGAATTGTGTTCCAATTTTGGTAGCTAGAAAAAGAGATAGAAGTGTAGCTAATCTAGTGCTTGTTTGTGCATACCACTTGTTTGATGAAATTCCAAAGTGAAATGCATGTATGGTTATGATAGTATAATAATTTGAAATGAGTGTGTAGATGGTAGAGAAAGTAGAAAATGACATGTTTACATGCCATATTGCATCTTTGCATTTAATTAAGAATTGAGAAAGAATAATAAGAAGAATCCATCTACATGCATACAAGCACACTAAAGAACAAAGAAAAAGAAAGAAAAGCACTAAAGAACAAAGAGAAAGAAAGAAAAGTGCTAAAGAAAAGAAAAGAAATGCTGTTGCGATGGGGAACCCGTGGGTGACAAGAAGAAGAATATTCTCACATGCACGCTGCCTTCAGTGAGCGGCCTAAGAATAAGAAGAAGAATTTGTACGGCCCGTAAGAGTGCATGTGGATGAGGGCTGTACCCAAAAGAATATACCTACATGCACGCCACCTTTAATGAGTGGCCTAAGAAGAAAAAGAATTTGTACAGTCCGTAAGAGTGCATGCAGATGAGGACTGTACTCACTCACACGGCCAGGGTTCCAAATCCATGCATCAACTGAGTCCGATCAGCAAAGAATAAGGAAGAAAAGAAAGAATAGAAAAGAAAAAGAAAATAAGAGAAGAAGGAAAGAAAAGAAAGAAAGAAGAAAGAAAGAAAAGAAATAGAAAGAAAGAAACATAGAAAACAAAATAAGAAATAGAAAAGTAGAATGAAAATGCATTCCTATGCATTTGTGCATTTGCATCATACCTATGCATGATACCATGATTACTATTATGGGTAGAAAGAACAGAGAGAACTAGAAAGAAAGAACAATAAGAATTAGAAATAGAGAAAGAATAGAGAAAGAATAAAGAAAGAACCGAGAAGAAGCAAAAGTGTGATGTAAGGAAAGAAATTCAGAATGTGAGCAACGGAGATAGAAGAATAGTATAGCGGATTTACTTACTGAGCAACTAGTGCTCTCCTCGTTGTTTCTACATGTTTTTGCAGGGAATAGGTGAGAAGCGGTCGGATAGACGTCGAGAAGTGGAAAGAAATGGCACTATTGTCCACTGTTTTTTTAAGCTAATGTATATGATACTTTTTTATGTAAAGAATTTAATATATAAAGTAAAGAAAATTTTTGGGCCCATTACTTTCCACTTATATGCATATGTGTTTTTATCATATTATATCTCCCAAGTATTCTAGTTAGAAAGAGCTATTACAAAATAGAAGAAAGATTATTTAAACTTTTCCAAGTTTTAACCTAAGGAGTTAAACCCAAAATAATTTACCCAACCCATCTCGCACGATTATCTAAAGTTTGGAAATGGATTATATTGGAGAGGGTTTGTAGGGCAACGGGTTACCCATTCTTATTTTTTTAATATAATTTTTTTTTTTATATTTTAAACTTGTACATAATAATTACTTGTTATCTACAAAATTATTTTATAAATATATTAAACATTATTTAAATTAATGATTTAATAATTAAATTTAAAAAATAAACATTGTCTTGCCATTGACCAGTATCACTAGAGTAGATACGATGAAACCATTCATAAGGAAATGATCATAACATGATTATTTATGCAATCATCAAATACTCACTAGAACATGATTTATACTTTGACCATAGTGTTAGAATATTTTATTTAATGTCCCATGTGTCTTATACCTTTACGTAGCGTTTGTCCTAGGAAATTTTTTATTATTGAAAATATAGGATTACCACTGAGATAGATTACAGTGAAGATTAATTGGCGAATTTTCTACTAATATATTTGTTTAGATTGGTGAGTATAAATAATTAATATATTTGGTTGGGAGAAATAAAATATTATCGGGAGATATTTTACTGAATTGCCCTTCCTTGTTAATATTATTATTATTATTATTTAGAATGTTATTTTTAATCTTTTACATTGAGAATTTAGCTAAAATACCCCAACAACAAAAGTTTAAAAATTAAAAAAATACACCTAGCCACCCAAGATGACTGTTGGCTGCCAGCCACCACCATTGGCCACCGCTAATAGTCGTCGAAACAACGCACAACCACTCGAATCTGGACGACCGTGTGCTAATCTGGATGGCCAAATCAAAGGCCAAAAACGAGTAGACGGCCGTGGATTTGGCCGAAAAGCTAAATCCATTTTGGCCATTAACGGCTAGATCTACGACCGTTTACAACCACAGATCTGGCTGGAAATGGCCAAAATGGTTCTGGTCGTTATGGTCAGATCCATGGCCATTTGGCCATTTTTGGCCTTCGGTCTAGCCGAAAATGGCTAGATTGGTGCACGGTCGGCCAAATTCGGCTAGTCATGCATTGTTTCAACGACTGTCGATGGCGATCGACGGTTGTAGCCACGACCAGCAATCGTCTTGGGTGGCTCGGAGTAGTTTGAGTACTATCCATACAATTTCTTTGATTATATTCCATACAAATTAAGAAATTATTGTTGATATCACTTGATTTGATATCTATATCATTTATAATTTGTTAGTCACCAAAGTGACCGAATTAGAAAGTTTCTCATAGATTTCAAATTGAGTAAAATTCAATTACTCATGATTATGTGATGCAACTAATAAGATGACATGATGATCTATGATCTATGTTTTACTTAGTGTGAGTAATTTGAAGTTCACAGATTATAGAATATTTAAGGATCGCTCAAAGATTGATCAGTTAATTTTATAATCATGAACATGTTAGGGTAGGTACTCTGGAGCCAATCAAATTGTACTATTTGACTACTTGTAAAAACATGTTGATATCAATAAAAGGCAATTTGACTATATTATGTCTAACTATATTATGTAAATCATATTTCAGATATGTTATAATATATGTCCTTAGAATGGTAGAATCGTGATGAGGGAATCAAGTGCTTTAAATCTTGATTGTAAGAACTCTATGA